CCCGAGTTAATTAACACACGGATCTCTTGTTGCGGCTTATCAATGAATATATATGGAGGATGATCTCAGAAGCCAATCAGCGTAGATCACGCTCCCTGTCTAAACGTCTTATGCAAGAATCTCTATATTATTCAAACTTTTAATGAAGTCGCTAAACCAGACTAGGTGAAGTACTTAATTATAGTTAACAGTGATTCGTCAACCGAAAGTTCATTTTCAGGGGAATGCGATTTACGTTGATTATCCTCCTCGTTTACCCTCTTTTCGAAAAAATCATCGTTATCATACATTGACACGATTTATAAATATAATAAATAATAATAATAATACATATATAAATAATTCTTTACAATTTTTATGGATATATTTTTCATCGTTCAAAAGATAAACGCGAAGATATTATTGACAAGATGCGTGCAAATATACGAGTGAAACGAAACACACGTGCAAACAAGAATCGTGTATTTCACGAGAATAAATGGAGGAAGATGTCTGTATGCGAGAAGCAAATTGGTGCGCGCGCACAGACACGATAGGATATCTTTGTGGGCATCGTCTTAACGTGCATAAGTGATATAAAGCGACATGTGTGCAACATGCACCTCTCTAACGATGGACACGTTATCACAGGTGAACGTTCTATGATCGATCCTATCAACTATCAAACTCCATTAACTCGTACGTTCGCGTTGCCATCTGGCCTATACTACTTGTGTTCACCAAGTGTCGGTCAACTTTGCTACGTGAACCCGATGTCGTCACAGCAATTAAGACACGTTGCTACATAATCGCAACGTGAAACGCGATGACCAGCCATCCAGTTGAAAATCTGCTCTTTCGCATGTCTATCTAGATTCTCGATTAATTCAATATTCTTTCTTTTTAATAATAATTCTATTCTTCTTTTTTTTTTAAATTATTGAGTTAGAGTGTGGAATAATAAGGAACGTTCGAAATGTAATTCGTTTTTAAAGTATTATATGGTTTACGAAAAGTATATAACGTTTTAACTTTATTTATATTTTTGTTTCTGTGAAATTTCGTAGGGAATGGTAATGTCACGAATAATAAAAAAATTTGTAAAATTATATAGGGGTTACTGTTGCAAATTCTTGTTGCAGAAGAAGCGATCAGTCTATTATTTTGCAAATATAAATGAATAAAAAAATATAATAAGAAATGAAAAGAAGGAAGTTTAAATTGAACATCGAATGTTGTTTATATGAAATACGTATAACATATATATTGAATTTTTTCACTCTATATAAATAATTTCTAAAATCGTAAAACGTTTAAAATATTTTCCACAATCTTTCTATTATTTTCTTTATCCTTTTTGCAAGCTAGAAAAAAAATAAAAGAAAATTTCTTCTTTTATATAAATAGCATTCTCATCGCGTTAATCATTAAATTTAATAATAAGCAAAAAATAATGTTGGCCAGACGAGAAAGATGAGGAAAATCATGAGAGGATTAATACGGAACGTTGAAGACAATGGATATCACAATTTTCAATTCGAAACTATTGGAATGATGTCTTGAAAATCGATATAACCGCGGTAATTTTTTTTTTTTTTCTTTTTTCATAGGAAGACGCGATGAATATTATCCTTTTGTTCAGGATTCACAGAGCCACGCCCAGGCAGGAAGTTCTCAGATCGATATCACCTATGTGTACTGTTCATGAGTAGCGTATCCATAATCTTTTTAACAGCTCGTAAAACGTGAAGATTTTATTTGCTGGAAAAATGAATCCTCCACTCGATTCTTTAACAAGCCTTTTAACTCTTTCCCCACGAATAAAGATCTCTCTTTAGTCTAGGACGATACACGCGTTGATATGGCAAAAGGTAATCGTGATGTAAATAAAAAAAAAAAAAAAAAATAAAAAAAATACCGACAAAGACACACAAAAAATATTTCATTGTTAAAAATTTTTCAGTTGTAAAGTAGGTATTTTTATAAAAATGATCATTTAATTCTTTTTAATTAAAAGAGCAATTGATTTCAAACTAAACATTCGCAAGAATTGGAAAATATGGATTTATTATAATTCTCATTCATAGAATGAAATAATCATTTAACGCTTAATAGGAGATGGAAAACTCGATTCATGCTCCAATTGTTCTCCGTTTTCCTCCATGTTTTATCTCTAAAACAGCTAACTCGAGATGTATAACCGAATATTATTCGCAAAAAAAAAAAAAAAAAAAAAAAAGAAAAAAAAATCCGCACCAGACTAATTGATTTGAATATCTGCGCACGTCAGCGCTCGAGGCGAAATATTTATGAACAGACGTTTCGAACGATTTAAATAGTCGATCGACTTTAAAAAGAATTAAAATCGAAAAATATTCGATAAAACGTTTCCTTCCTTTTTTCTTATTTTTTCATTTCCATTCTTTATATACGTATTATACACATATTACAAATTAACAATTAATTTTTAATTCTTAACCAAACAAAGGACGGTGTTTTCAAGAAATGGTTCCAATTGTATACAGGGCAATTTCACGGGAATTTTTATATCCCTTTTAATGAATCGTATGCCAAAATTTTTTCGATATAAGTAAATCGTTTCAAGGAACGCGTTGTTTCTTAATTTTTTTGAAAAACGATCCGTCTGGTTCAAAAATATTTTGAAAGCAAAAGTTTCACCCTCGAACGAGTTCGTTAGTTCGTTAACACGGTCTATTTTTACGAATCTGTTTTGTACCAAAGGAGAAGTTCAACCAAACTTAATTAGTCTTCTGTATAATGTTAGGGGCGTCAAAGTGGAAACGTGAAACGTCGAGAAGCCTCTCTTTGATGAATGAATGAAAGCCGAGTAAACGTTTTACATATGTATCACGGGCTAGATTCCTTTATGTCATTCCATTCTATTCTTCTTCTTCTTCCTTTTTTTCTTTTTCCTTTTCTTTCTTTTTTCTTTTGCCTAATGAAACATTATATTTATCTTTCTCCGGTTTATGAACACTGATTCTTTGTTAAATCATCTCAAAGCGACATTAAATGAAACGAGCGCCGCGTAAATGGTTTTCCAGTAATTTGAAGTGAAATTATGGGAGATAATTGAGGGAATGAACAATGAAATTATCGCGTGAATTTATCTCAGCGAAATGGATGAATTTTGATTGAATTTCTTCAATTCGTTATATTCGAAACTTGTTATAAAAATTGAGGGAAAAGTGCCCTTTCTTTCTTCTATACTATCCAGTGAGGTGGATAATTTGCATCTTTTTTTCTTTTTTTATAAAATTTATCATTTACTTTTTATACGATATTATTTCAGTCGCAAACTTCTTGAACAGATATAAAAAAAAAAAAGAAAAAATTTTCAAAATTCGAAGCATGTACATTCGCGTAATGTTGAGAATTATGTTGTAACTGAGAAAAATCGTTGATTCGTTGCAACGAGTTTAACAAGTTTATCATAAAAAGTTGGGACACGAGAGCATAAATCATTTACTCGATATAAACAGACCGTGAAGTGGGCAGTGTAACATCGAAACTATTTTATAACTTTGTTACAATTTGTTATCCTTCTCGCAAATTGTGCGAAAATGAAGATAAATTTTGGCGGAGGGATGAATTTTTATCCCATCTCTCTCTTGTTATAACATCTCCTTATATATATATATATATCTTGAAAAGAATGAGACGATAAACAGAGCATAAAATTTTAAAACCTCTTTCGAATCTGGCGACATTTTGGTTGGTTGAAGCACGTCTACACGCGAACCACGGTGCAAACACTTGAATTAGATTAGTTTGCTTTCGTGGATACATACGTTGATTGTCTGACAGTTTCGAAGACTACGAGATTTAGTGGATGCTCGCAACTCGTCACGTATATATATAAGCTATCTTTTTGACGAGTATTAAACTGCTTATGTCAGGTGTAACATTTATATAAAATCAAGCAATTTCATCGAATTGATTAAGATTTATTAAGAATTATTGAGCGATATAATTTTAATAAATAATTATTAAAATCGTATCTTCGATCTAATTTTTATCGATCCAATTTTTTAAATATTGGAATATTAATTTCTTTTTTTTTTATAATAATTTTGGAACAGAACAATAAATGGTAGTATAAATATTAATTAAATTAAGGTTAAAAAGTTATAATTAGGAGAAACGAAGTTGCGTATTATAAACATTTCGAAACATTTTTTTTTTTTTTAAGAGAAATATTCCAGCGTATAAAAGACGGGTGAAAATAAGAGGAGAGAGGATTTGAAACGGAATTGCAGAGTTACAGAGAAATTTAAAATAAAAATAACGCGAGATTTTAAAGAGAAGGAACAATGCAGAAGCTAGAGGAAAGAAACAAAAATATAGGATAGAAAAGAACGTAAGAGTATGAACTTATTTGCTTAGAACAAAAGAAATTCTGAATAGCATAATATAAAAGTAGGAGAAAATTGATTCATATAACAACAAAAAGCTTGCTCTAATTAAACAAATATCAAATATTAAAAATATTTACATGATTAAAATAAAAATATATTTATTGATTATTATGCGATAATGATGTTAATTATATTATTTTATTTTTATGTTTTATTAATACTGAAAGTAATTATTGGAATATATAAACTTTATGAACGAATATGAATTGACGTATCAATATGATTGCACATGAAAATCGAAAATGGAAAATTAATTTAAAATTTCAGAGAGAGAGAGAGAGAAAGAGAGAAGGAGGTCACAAATGTGTAAATTTTCGTACAATGAGATATGAGATTTTCACGTTTCGTTCAAATATTTTCAAGCGATAGATTTCTTCTAAAAAATATAATATATAAAATTATAATAATTATATTATGTATTTTCTCGTTTTCCTAATTTTGACTTTATTATATTTAAAGTAATCATAATTGAAATGGATAACGGTAGATTATGGTCTATCCAAAAATTTTCCAAATATAGAGAACACATTTTCTCATAAGCGGAGCAAAATATTATTTTTAAACAAGAGAAATTTTACTCACCCTCTTAAACTCAATACGGATGACATTAACGGTGTATCCTCGCCATGCTTTCTACATTTTTGACGAGAATTTCTTCTGGCCTGCAATAAAAAAAAAAAAAAACAAAATTTACTTTACACTACGTAACACCATTTTCATGATCCGATTTTCTCAAGTACCATATTTTTCATAAGCTGTATAATCTTATATATTCTAGAGAAGCAGCCTACAATAATAAAGACTCTTTCTTTACAAAACTTATAAAACTTCTTCTTCGAATAATTAACATAATTAAACTCAAAGAAAATCGATTAAATAAAGATTAAATAAAGAGAATGCTTTACAGAGCAAAAAAAAAAAAAATTTAAGACAAATTTTAAGTCTTCGTTAATAAAACTTTTATTAATAATAATATTTTTATATAAATATAAATAAATAATTTATCTTAAAACTCGATTAAATCCTATTAAAATTATCAAAACTTTAAACCGTTATAATTCCGAAAATAACGATTTTTTATAAATGAATGAAAGATCTTAGAAGCAAGGATTCTCTCCCTTTAAAACGCTTTTTGATTTATCTCGATATGACTTCCGGTTCCCGAGATATCGTCGCGAAAACGAAATTTTTAATCGTTTATAATATCTCCGTCCTTGTTGCATATTCGGATCTCTTGCTCGCACTGACGCTCGTCTCACTGACCTATCTCAAACTCCAGACAAGTGGCGGACGCGATTCCTGGAAGAACATAATGTACGATTCCTAGAAAAACGTAATACGTATTTCCAAGAAAAATGCAGGTCAACAGCCCATTCGTAATTTCTGTACTAAGCATTACGAAAACTATTTTTGAGTCTTTATATCTCTGCAACCAATCGAGATATCGAGATAATTCAAAAAACGATTTCAATGGCATGATTTTCTCTCTGAGTAGGATTTTTGACGACAAAATTTTTCTTCTCGTGCTTTTTTTACGTGAAAAATTAAAATTTCATTTGTGAGATTCTGTTCTTCTCGCAGCAGAAAGTATATTATTTAATTTTAAATATTTAATTATTAAGCATGTGTAATTTTCTAGTTTTATTTTTGTATTTTTCAAGTAATTGTAAAATATATATATATAAGATACAATGGTCGAGCAATACCGGAGAAATTACATTTGAAACTGAGAGAGAATAAAAGGAGAGATATAATAGCTATTATAATTTTACTGGTTTTGTTTCAAAGCCACTGCTATTAGTAAATAAACGATATCGGTTAATAAGATCTTCATGAAAACGATGAAATAAACGGGAATCGAATTTTTCTACCTTGAACTTTTTTTTCTCAATAGCGCGATGTCTGTGTTGCAGATTGTCCAAGTGGGAACAGAAATTGCTTATTAAAGAGAGAAATTCAATAGACGAGGGAATTAAAAAACGACTACAGCGATCGTTCAATACCATAATGCGAAAATCTATAGAATATAAAACTTGTCAATCTTCCAATTACTCGAAAAAATTACGTGCCAATACAATTCATAATTATTTAAAATTTTAAATAAATATTCACAGATACATGATTATTATTTAATTTATTTAACGAATCTAATGAAACTCTTTATATTTTTGTCAATATTAATTCGAAGATAAAGCATTAATTTTTATCATATTTTTCTTCAATCGTAGTCATCTTATCCCACTTTCCTAACTTTGTTGCAAAGACCTAAACTACCAAAGCCTTTGAACTTTCAAGTAAACAAATAGTTATGGAACATGCAAATCGCCACATTCCATATTCCCCCCTCCCTCCAAAGTTTCACTACGAATACAAGAAACTTTTCACGCAATTGATAAATTTTTACCAGAGATTAATGATCCTAAATGTGTATATATATATATATATTCAACACATCTTCAAAATTCTATTCATCGATGAATTTAATTTAATCATGAACGTATTATTGTTTGATCAAACACGAAAGAAGGAACAAGATGCTTAGTCATCGGCCCAAAAATGAATTATTAATCAAATTACATATTCCCTTTACGATTTCTATCAGGGGAGCTTACGTTGTACCGTAAGCTTCGAAAGCTTACGTTCGAGGAATAAATCAGGATAGATATTTTTTCTTAATTTTAAAAGCATTAGTGCAAAGATAGAAGTAAAAGATTTGTGTAAAGAAAATTTAAATTCTTAATCGATAAATCATTAATAAAAACAATCGCATTAAAAAATAAAAAAAAAAGAAAAAGATATTTTGATTCTTTTCCTTTTTTTCTTTTTTTTTTTTATTCTTTTTTTCCTTATATATGGGTGAGAAAGAAAATAGAATTGCAAATTCAGCGATAAATCCTGTTAGTACTCGCGAAAAAAATTCTATTCTATAAAAACATTTAACGCTTTAATTATAATTGAATTATGAAAATAGAAGAAAGGTAGGAAATTTAAAAAAAAAATTTAAATTATTATTATAGTTGGATAATAAATACAAAAATAAATGAATATTAAAAGAACGAATAAACATAAAATTAATTAATTTTAGAAATATCAACTCAACATATATCTATATCTAAAATCGTTAAAGGAAACATAAGTATTTGCAATATGCGATATTGAAGATTCCATTGAAGATATTTCAGTGAAATATTTTAAATACGCAGTTAAAGAGCGCAACATGCAACAATCTTATCTACAAAAGTTCGTTGAATTTATTCCAAATTATTTTGAATTTATTACTTTTTTTTTTTTAATCGAGAATAAATCGTGTATTTACTTATAAAAAAATATATACGAATGTGAAAGTATAATATGTAGTAATAAGAAAAAAAAAAGAAACAAAATGTATCAAATTCGCGTTACAAATAAAATTACACTTGAATAATTATTTTTGAACGTGTCACAAGATAAGGAAAAAAAAAAAGGTTATTCGTCTTAAAATGTTTTATGTATATATGGTTTCCAAAGCACAAGTGGACAGTGTGAATATTTTTTGAAAGAAAGAAGTCGGTCAACAGTGAAATTATTCCGTACATTTCTATCCGAATCCCATCGGATAACCTCGTACAGGGATACATAAATATTTCTCGTGTAGTTCACGGGGTTAAATTCGAACTTTGGTAGACGAGGGTGTTTCTAATCGATGCGATATTTAAGTCGGTATTTTCAACGAATAAAAATAGAATTTCGTAAAGATAACGTTTTCCTCCATTTTCTAATTTCCACATAAAAAGTTTTCCATTCCATTAGGAGTTTTTTTTTTTATGTAAGAATAAATGGTGAATAAATTAATGAAAAATTAAAGAAAATATCTTTTTTTTAATAAAATAATGAGGAATCAACGTAACGTATATATAATAAGAATTTCTATTAAATAACATTGTAAAATATATATATATATATATAATAGGAAATAATAATCGTAGAAAATGTACGGTTATTACATGAATTTAATTAAATGCTAAAAAGCAGAGGTCGCTGCATTATATTTGACAGAGTCCCAACTCGGTTATGTTGAACATTTATGACACGATTTTGTTACGCATTCACTTCAAAGATCTCTCAGTCAATCTGTAATTATGAGAATAACGTGCAGAATTTAATGGCAAGAATATATGAAAACAATTTTGCATAATTCCTTTGTATAAATTGTATTTCAAACAATGTTCAACGAGAATTTCTCTATAACAGGGAGAGCGTATACATGATTTTCATAGCATGAAAGTCATGGAAATTTATCGATTCGATTAAAAAAAAAAAATATATATATATATATAAGGCAAATATATATTATCCGTTTTATTGCAAATAATTTTCTCTTACGAGCATCTTTTTTTCCCCTCTCGAGTACGCGAGTACCATGTAATCCCTTTGTACATTTTATCCAATTTATATTTCATTTCGAACAACCGAGTATGAATCACGTGTTATAAAGTCAAAAATCTTGATTACAAAATTTTATCAATTCTAACATAATTTTAATATAACAATTTTAATATTAAACCGTTAAATATTTACAAATGTTGAAAAACTTTAATATTTCTTTCTCTTTTATCGATAATTCGATGTTGCCAATTCTTAAAAGAATAATTTATTTTATTCCGTTAATAGAAAAATCTTATTACAATTCAGACGACGACGTGATCACGACGTTGCACAAAGTGTTTCGTAGCCGGAAACATTTTCATATTTCTTTCTTACCATTTCAGAACAGGAGAAAATGTTCAGTAGCTTAACAAGATGAAAATTGTATAATCCCATTTAAAACAGTATTGCAATTGTATTTTTTTCTCCGCGCATCGATGCGTCCAACTTGACAAAATTGAGGCCTCGCTAAAATTAAATCTTGTCGGACATACAATTATCATCTTTGTAAAATTAATTTTTCTCTTCCCCGATTAAATGCAACGTGTGAATCCTTCTACATCTTGCTCTTTTTTTCACTCTTCGATTTTAAAAGTAAAAGTTTCCCCTCGATAAAGAATATATCAAGCGAAATAAATTTATTCGAAATGTGATTTAACGATCGAAAAATAAGGACGTAATTTCTTTTGATAAGATTTTTTTTTTAACATACAATGAAATTATTGCAAAAGAATTGCGATATTTTTATCGAATACTTTATGCTGATTTTCCACAACAAACGAAGTATTTCTTTTTTTTTATTAAATTCTCTTCTTAAAAATTCAGAAATTCAATCGTTCTCGTCATACGAGAGAACGCAATCAAAGTTAATGATCTATTACGCGAGATCTTCGAAGAATAAAATTGCGTATGAAAGGTTAAAGCGGATCAATACAACGTTTTAATCTACTTCGTAATTGTAAATTAACATTCTCCCGTTAATAAGATTGGGTTTTTATTTCCGCCATTTTCTTGACCATTTTTTTTTCTTTCTTTTTTCCGTCAATCTGTGAGAAATATTGAATTAAGCAAAATATTCTTTCTACTCCTAATACTTTTAATTATTATTTACATTATAAGATCAAGTGCATGCTTCTAACTTCGATACGTATATATATATATATATATTTTAATTGAAGAAATAAATGGGCTTTTAGAGACATCAATCGAATATTAAATTTTACGAATTTAAAATATTCGCGGCGCAATAGAATTTATG